CGCCTCGGGCGTGAAGAGGAAACGCATTTACTGTCTCCATCAGCTCGGCGCGGTTTGCAGCCCTTTGCCAAACCGGGCGGCTCCACCCAGGAATCCTCCTGGCCGGGCAGAAGGGGCTGGCGAGGCAGGAGCAGGTTTCTCCCTCCCTGGATAAGCGGACTGCCCTATCTCTTTTATCATCTAAAAAAAATATGTTTTACAGGCGGTGGTGTCATGTTCTGCCGCCTCCCTCCCCCGCTCCGAACGACTCCACGCGTCGCCTGACTCGGAATTTTTTTTTTTTTCAACTCTCCTGACGCCCCAAACCGGGCAGGGATTTCCGTGCAACCCTCCCGGGACGAGGCTTTTTTTTTTTTTCATTTCACAATCCCCTTTCCCCCTCCACCCCACGGCCACACCTCCCGAATCTCCTTCCGCAAGCGGAAAATTCCCTCCCCCGACGGCTTTTCCGAGGGGAAAATCGCCGCGTAAGGAACATTTGGAGGCCCCGTCAGCGTTTCGGTCCCGGCAGGGAAGGGACCGCTCAGCTCCTTCCTAAAAAACTCGGCGTTGGGCGCCCTTCCCCTTCCAAAATGTGTCCCCCTGGGGTTTAGGGGGGGGGGATGAGCAAGAGGACGAGGAATTCCAAGCCTTTCCTTGTGCTTTTCCAGTGGCCTGGGGAGCCCGTGGGGGACGGGAAGGACGCTCAGGGCGGTAACGAGGGCTGAGAGGAACGTTTAATTCCCTGCAGCATCTGCCCGGTGATGGAGCTGGAAGATCACCCGAAGGACGTCCTGAAGGCGCCTCTCGGGGCGTCGTTAATGACGAAATATTTTGGTTTAAATCTTTGGAATTTAGGGGGAAAAAATTACAGTATTTCCACCAATTTTATTTCCAATAAAAGTCGAGGGAATGACGTGTTTTAAATCGTTTCAGCAGTGCAGGGATGTTCCTGGGCTTCCCCCCAGGGCAGTGTGGTGCTTGTGCTGGAGTTCTCGCACTCACTCAACTCGCACCCCAGATTTGGGCAGGTAAATGTGGTTTTTAGGGTGTCCCAGGCAAATCCGCCGGCGGCCGCGGGCTCTGCCAACCCTCCGGAAAACCAGCCCGGGGAACCACTTCCAAAAGCCACGGGAGGAAGGGGAAACGTGGATGTGGCCGGTTGGAACCGGGGCGGGGCTGCTGGACCCTCGGGATGGGCAGAACTGGGGGAGAAAGGGGGGAAAAGTTACCCTGGAGGGGGATTCGACTGCTGGTCAGGGGTTATGCCACCCTGGAGGGACTCAAAACCACTTGGCCGAGGGTTATCCCACCCTGGAGGAACTCAGAACCACCTGGACAAGGGTTATCCCACCCTGGAGGGGCTCAAAACCACCTGGACAAGGGTTATCCTATCCCTGAGGGACTCAAAACCACCTTGACAGGGGTTATCCCACCCTGGAGGGGCTCAGAACCACTTGGACAAGGGTTATCCCATCCTTGAGGAACTCAAAACCACCTGGCCAGAGGTTATCCCACCCCTGAGGGACTCAAAACCACTTGGCTGAGGGTTATCCCACCCTGGAGGGACTCAAAAACCACCTTGACAGGGGTTATCCCACTCCTGAGGGACTCAAAACCACTTGGCCGAGGGTTATCCCACCCCTGAGGGGCTCAAAAACCACTTGGACAAGGGTTATCCCACCCTGCAGGGGCTCAAACCCACCTGGACAGGGGTTATCCTGCCCCTGAGGGACTCTAAAAATGCTTGGCCAGGGGTTATCCCACCCTGGAGGGACTCAAAAACCACCTGGCTGAGAGTTATCCCATCCTTGAGGAACTCAAAACCACTTGGCCGAGGGTTATCCCACCCTGCAGGGGCTCAAAACCACCTGGACAGGGGTTATCCTACCCCTGAGGGACTCTAAAAACATTTGGCCAGGGGTTATCCCACCCTTGAGGGACTCAAAACCACTTGGCTGAGGGTTATCCCACCCTGGAGGGGCTCAATAACCACCTGAATAAGGGTTATCCCACCCTGGAGGAACTCAAAAACCACCTGGCTGAGAGTTATCCCATCCTTAAGGAACTCAAAACCACCTGGCCAGGGGTTATCCCACCCTGGAGGGGCTCAGAACCATTTGGCCAGGGGTTATCCCACCCCTGAGGGGCTCAAAAACCATCTGGCCAGAGGTTATCCCATCCTTGAGGGGCACTAAAAACATTTGGTAAGGGTTATTCCACCCCTGAGGGGCTCAGGTAATGGTTGGTCAAGGATCATCTAGCTCTTGAGGGGACTCAGCACTTGGCCAGGGGTTATCTCACCCCGGAGGGGCTCAAAAACCATCTGGACAAAGGTTATCCCACCCTGGAGACGGACTCAAATGTTGCCCAAGGATCATCCCACCACTGAAGGACTCAGATGTTGGCCAAGGGTGACCCCACCCTTGAGGGGCTCAGGTGAGGGTTGGCCGAGGGTCATCCCACCCCGATGGACTCCAGGGCTGCCCGAGGGGTCTCCAGGCTCGTGTTCCTGCAGCTGGACCCCCTCCCACCCGGAAAGGACCCCGAATGAAGGAACCCGAGTGAAAAGCCTCTCGTTTCTCCAAGGTGGAGATTTTAATCCCGCCGGCTCTCCCCGCGATCCCAGAGCAGCCCTCCATGGGGAGGAGCTGGAGAAAAACCAGTTCATCCCTTCTCCCTGGGTGGGTGGGGGATCCCGATTTCCAAACGGCCCCCGCCGCCCCTCGGGAAGGCACCGGGAGCCTCCCGGGACGAGAGAGAGAGAGAGAAGGGAGGATGTGCCGAGTCAGCCGGAGCGATGATGATGATGCCGCGCTGCTGACCGCGCTCGGCGCCCGCAGATAAGACGCCCCCAGCTCGAGTCACTCTGACGTCTCCAGACGAGATGTGCAGATTATCCCCAGCCCGGAGCCGGGCTCGGCCTCCTCCCGGGGTTTAGAACCCGACCGGCAGCCCCGGCCGAGCCCTCGGAGATCTCTTGCGAAAGGAGCTGCGGCAGCAGAATCGGAGGCACCGGCGAGGGAGGGAGGGAGGGAGGGAGGAGGAGAGGAAAGTGTGAACTCGGCAGAAAGAAACGAGCCGGGCCCCGGCTCCGCCGGGGAGGTGTCGCAAGGACTCCCCAAAACTGCCCCAACGCCGCGTAAAGTTCGCTGTAAAAGCTTGGGAGAAAGGCGCTCTTTAAAAACTGGGCACCGGAGCTGGTGATTAAGCACCAGAACAGGTGATTAAGCACCAGAACAGGTGATTAAGCACCAAAACAGGTGACTCTTGCCCCAAGCCAAACACCGAAGCGCTCCTGGCTCAGCACCAGCTTCTCACAGGCTTTGCCTGCTCAGCATCTTTACTTGGGTCGGACCCAGCGACGTTTCCCGGCTCCAGAGCTCTTGGAAGAGGGGGGAATTCCCTCTTCCAGGAGCCTGTCCTGGACCTCCCCCTGGGTCTGCAGCTTCCTGACCCGCTCTGGGGACACCGGGGCGGCTCCCGGGGGGTTGTTGTGGGACTCCCGATCCGCCTCTGCCAGCGTTTTCTGCCCCTTTGATCTCTCCCCGCGGCGCAGGAGCCGCAGCACAGCTCGGATCAAACGCACCGCCACTCCCCTCCCACCTGCTCCCAATCCTGCTCCGGGAGGGAGGGAAAGAGGGAGGGGAGAGCCCACTGGGGGAGCCGCTCGGCTCTCCAGGGAGCTGACGGGGCCCGGGCTCCCTGACGGGGTTTGGGTTGAATCACCCCCCTTCCCAACCCGCCGCGTTCCCACGGCTGGAAAATCGCGGCTCGTGGCTCTCCGGCGTTCCTGGTGCTCGCATCTTATCCCTGTCCCTTCCCCACTCCCACGGGGCTCCCGCGCTGCCCCCAAAGTCCCCTCCGGGGCAGGAAACTCAGATGAGCCGACAAGGGAGCGTGGCCGCGTCTGCTCCCGCCTCCCGCGGCCGATTCCCACCCGCGATCGGCTCTTTGGGATCTCCCCCCGGTTCAGGCCACGAGGCACTGGGAACGTTCCCTCCCAGATCCCGGGATTTGCTGTTGGGGGTTTCAGCGGAGCCTTCCAAAAAGGATCAGGAATCCCAGGGATTTTGGGATTTCCCGGAGCTGGTGAGACGTGACGTGGGCAGTGAAGCCCCTCGGAGGCAGAGCCCTAAAAATCGGGACGGGGCAGCCTGAACCCCCTCAAGGACTGGCGGGGAAGGTGCTGGACCAACCCCCCCCTCCCCTCCCCGCGCTGGAGGTTTCCAAACCCGACGATTGCGGTGGAAACGACTCCCCGGGGGTTCCAGGGATGAGCTGGGTGCGTTCCCTAAATCGGGGGACGCCCCCCAAAAATTGGGCAGCCTCCCGGATTCCTCCAGTTCGGGGCTCCCGCTGCCACCGAGCGTGGCGTGACGATCACGGTCAGCCCCCAGAGAGAGGGTTGGTGGCTCGGGGTGGGGGCCAAGGGGCATCACCCGAGCTTGGACACCCATCCTGCTCCCTCCCCGCACCTCCGCAGTCCCCTCAAAGCGCAATCACAACACGCTGGGCAGAAGAACGATCACCCCAAAATCCCCCTCCCAGCTCCTCTCCCACCATCACCCCCCCACCATCACCCCCCCGACCTGGGGCAGCCCCCGAAAGCAGCGACACAACGACCCTGGTGAATGTTCTCTGCAGTTTATTGGGAACGGCAACACCGCGGGTGGGGATGGGCAGGGGGAGGAGAGCGGGACAAACGCACGGGGCGTGGGACGCGGACACGGGGACCGAGCGAGTTTTATACACGAGAAACGCCCGAGGCAGCGAGGCGGCGTGGGGTGGGCGGGGGGCGCGGCGGCCCCTCGTGCCGGGCAGCTCCCCGTGCCTCGACGGCGCCGGCATCGCCCCCCACGCCCCGCGTGGCACCGCGGGCCGCGCCGAGCCGGGCGGGGAGGGCGCGGCTCGTCCCACGGAGGGGCTGCTGCGAGTGGGGAGGCTGGGGCTGCTGCCGGCGGGAGGGACGAGGAGCTGCTGCTGGAGCTGCTGCTGGTGCTGGTGGTGCTCGGCGGGGCTCAGAACCGCACCCCCGAGGACTTCACCGAGGTGGTGACGCATCTCCGCACCGAGGACGAGCCCCCGGCGGAGCCGCACATCCTCCCGCTGCCCGAGGAGAAGCCCCCGCCGTGCATCCCCCCGCCCAGCCCGCAGCTGCCGCCGCCGAATCCTCCTCCTCCCATCCCGCTGCCTCCGAATCCTCCTCCCCCCATCCCGCAGCTGCCTCCGAATCCTCCTCCTCCTCCTCCCATCTCGCTGCCGCCGAATCCTCCTCCGATCCCGCCGCCTCTGCCTCCGGAGATGCTGGTCCTGCCCACCACGGCTGCAAGAGAAGCAGAAGGGCAGGTTCTTCACCCGCTCTCCCCAAAAAAAAACGACCCCCCAGAACCCCCCTTCCCGAGGGGAAATACTCACAGACGTTGACGTTGGACATGCTGTCGTTGCAGAGCCTGCCAGGGGAAAAAAAAAATAAAACAAGAAAAAAAACAGGAGCGGGTGAATCCTCTGGGAAGCTCCTGCTTTTTCGGCTGAGAATTTCCCTTCCCCTCTACGTGTTTATGTTCCCTGTTTATATTTTTTTATATTTATATAAAATATATATTCCCTATATATAATATCTATATTATATATATTATAATATATGTATTATAATATATATTATAATATATAATATATATATTATATATATTATAATATATGTATTATAATATATATAATATATATTATATATAGAGAATATATATATAAAATATATATATCATATATATAAAATATATTTATACGTAAATATATATATAAATAAAAATATTTTGTATATATTATACATACATATAAAAAATATATATTCCCTATAGATATTTATTTATATTTCCTTTTTCGGGATTTCCCAGTTGTTCTTTATTTAAAAAAAAAAAAAAAGCGTGACCTGTTCCCTACTTTTTCAGAATTCCCCATATTTTTTTTTAAAAAAGAGCTATTTATTCCCTTTTTTTCTCCACACAGTTTTCTGATTATTCTATAAAGAAATGAGCAAGCGATTTGCTATTTTTCACACAGCTTCCCAATTTTCCTTTGAAGACATGAACAAATTAATCCCTATTTTTTTTTTCCAGAGTTTCCCAACTATCCTTCAAAGAAACGAGCAACCTATTCCCTGGGTTTTTTCGGAGTTTCCCAGTTATTCTTAAAACAAACAAACAAACAAACAAATACCTACTCCCTATATTTTTAGGAGTTTCCTGGTTATTCTGTAAAGAACTGAGCAGCTGATTTCCTATTTTTTCTTTTAGAGTTTCCCAGTTATTCTTTTTAAAAAAACGAACCAAATTTTTTTTTTTTTTTAATTTCCTGGTCATTCTTTAAAGAACTGAGCAGCCGATTTCGTATTTTTTCTTTTAGAGTTTCCCAGTTATTCTTTAAACAACAACAACAACAATTTTCTTTAGGAATTTCCTGATTTCCTTTTTTTTTTTTTTTCAGAGTTTCCCAGCTATTCTTCTTTAAAAAACAAAACAAACAAACAAAGAAAAAACCCACAAAAAAAACAAACCAAAAAACCACAAAAAACCCCAAACAAAAACAAAAAAAAACACAAAAACAAACCAAACCAAAAAAAAAAAAAAAACACACCAAAAAAAACCTTGAAAATTTTGTAAGACAGGAAAACGAACTTCACAAAATTAACGAAATTAATTTGTAATTAAACACGCTTAACTCGTGCTCGCTAATTAGAGCACGGGGGACAACCCCGAGCGCGCATCCCGCGGTTTCACCCGGCCCGTGGCGTCACCGACCCCGCCAAAGGAACGCAAATTTGAGAGGTGACGGAAGGTTAACCTGACCCGGGGAGGGTCTCACCTGTTCTCCTCCCCCTCCAGCAGCTTCCTGTACATGGCGATCTCCACGTCCAGCGCGATCTTGGTGTTGAGCAGCTCCTGGTACTCCTTCAGCAGCCGGGCCAGCTCCTCCTTGTCCTTGCTCAGGGCGCACTCCAGCTCCTCCAGCTTCCTGCGGGCGTCCTTGAGGGCCATCTCGCCCCTCTCCTCGGCCTCGGCGATGGCCGACTGGAGCTGCTGGTTCTGGGGGGGAGAGAAAGGAGAGAAAAGGAGTTTGGGGGGTCCCTCCTGCATGGGAGTTCTACTGGGAGCAGAATCGGAGGGTGGATGGGTGGGATCTGTCAGAGCAGTGCAATTTCCAAGTCCGCCTTTCCCAGCACGGTGCCGTTACCAGGGAGGTGCTGAGGGGCCTTTACCTGCTCCTCTCCTTCCAAATCTCACCCCTGAGACACCAACCAACCCCTCACCTGCTCCTCACCTTGCCAAATCTCATCCCCAAGACATCAAACTAACCCCTTACGTGCTCCTCACCTTGCCAATCTCATCCCTAAGACACCAACCAACCCCTTACCTGTTTCTTCCCTTCTCACTTTCATCCCTGAGACACCACCCACCCAACCCTCTGAGGTGATCAGGGGTCTTTACCTGTTCCTCTCCTTCCCAATCTCATCCCTGAGACACCACCCAACCTCTTACCTGCTCCTCACCTTCCCAATCTCATCCCTGAGGCACCAACCGACCCCTTACCTGCTCCTCACCTTCCCAGTCTCATCCCTGAGACCCCAACCAACCCTGTGAGGTGCTGAGGATCCTTTACCTCTTCCTCTCCATCCCAATCTCATCCCTGACATCACCCAACCCCTTACCTGTTCCTCACCTTGCAATCTCATCCCTGAGACCCCACCACCCAACCCTCTGAGGTGCTGAGGGTCCTGTACCTGTTCCTCTCTTTCCCAATCTCATCCCTGAGACACCAACCAACCAACCCTGTGAGGTGCTGAGGGTCCTTTACCTCCTCCTTTTCTTCTGAGTCTCATCCCTGAGACACCACCCAACCCCTTACCTGCTCCTCACCTTCCCAATCTCATCCCTGAGACACCAACCAACCAACCCTCTGAGGTGATCAGGGGTCTTTACCTGTTCCTCTCCTTCCAAATCTTCTCCCTGAGACACCACCCAACCCCTTACCTGCTCCTCATCTTCCCAGTCACATCCCTGAGACCCCAACCAATCAACCCTGTGAGGTGTCTGAGGGTCCTTTACCTGCTTCTTGACGTTCTCGATCTCCGCCCGCAGCCTCTGCACGTTCCTGGTGAGCTCCTGGATCTCCATCTTGGTGTTCCTCAGGCTGTCCCCGTGTTTCCCCGCCGTGTTCTGCAGCTCCTCGTACTTGAGGGGGGCAAAGGGGACCCATCAGGGGCAGGACCCAGCACGGGTTTGGGTGGCTGGGACAGCGGGGACCGTCCCAGGGGTGCTGATCCCACCCCGAGAGCTCACCCTGCTCTGGTACCAGGCCTCGGCCTCGGCCCGGCTGCTCTGGGCGATCTGCTCGTACTGGCGCCGGACCTCCTCGATGATGCTGTCCAGGTCCAGGTGCCGGTTGTTGTCCATGGACACCACCACGGACAGGTCCCTGCTGATGCTCTGCATCTGGGACAGCTCCTGTGGGGACAGCCCCGGGGATCAGAGGGGCCAGGGAAGAGCAGCAGCTCCCGGGGCGGCCTCTCCACACCAAACCCGCCCGGCCTTGGTGTCCTCACCCACCACACCCTCCCCAAAACATCACCCCAGGGGGAGGGAGGGCTCCTACCTCCTCGTAGATGGCCCTCAGGAAGTTGATCTCGTCCGTCAGAGCTCCCACCTTGGCCTCCAGCTCCACCTTGGTCATGTAGGCACAGTCCACGTCCTGAGGGAAGGATCCCACCAGTGACCAACACTTCCCTCCCATCCTGGGAAGGCGGTGGCATCCCCAGGGAACTGGTGGCACCCCCAGGGAGCTGATGGCATCCCCAGGGAACTGGTGGCACCCAGGGGAGCTGATGGCACCCCCAGGGAGCTGGTGGCACCCAGGGGAGCTGGGGGCACCCCAGGGAGTTGGGGACACCCCCAGGGAGTTGGGGACACCCCAGGGAGGTGGGGGCACCCCTAGGGAGTTGGTGGCACCCACGGGAGCTGGTGGCATCCCAGGGAGTTGGGGACACCCCCAGGGAGTTGGGGACACTCCCAGGGAGCTGGTGGCATCCCCAGGGAGCTGGTGGCATCCCAGGGAGCTGGTGGCACCCAGGGGAGCTGGTGACACCCCAGGGAGCTGGTGGCATCCTGAGGGAACTGGTGGCATCCCAGGGGAGCTGGTGACACCCCAGGGAGCTGGGGGCACCCAGGGGAGCTGGTGGCATCCCCAGGGAGCTGGTGGCACCCCCAGGGAGCTGGTGGCACCCCCAGGGAGTTGGGGACACCCAGGGGAGCTGGGGGCACCCCAGGGAGTTGGGGACACCCCCAGGGAGCTGGTGGCACCCAGGGGAGCTGGTGGCACTCAGGGGAGCTGGGGGCATCCCCAGGGAGTTGGTGGCACCCACGGGAGCTGGGGTCACCCCCAGGGAGCTGGTGGCACCCAGGGGAGTTGGGGCATCCCCAGGGAGCTGGGGACACTCCCAGGGAACTGGTGGCCTCCCCAGTGAGCTGGTGACACCCCCAGGGAGCTGGTGGCATCCTCAGGGAGTTGGGGACACCCTGGGGAGCTGGGGACACCCCCAGGGAACTGATGGCACCCCACTGCTCCCGTCCCCCCCCACTCACCTTCTTCAGCACCACGAACTCGTTCTCGGCCGCCGTGCGCCGGTTGATCTCCTCCTCGTACCTGTGAGGGCACAGGGCAGGGGTGGCACCCTCAGCACCCTCATTCTTCACCTCAGGGGGGTCTCCTGGGTTGTCCCAGCTCCCCTGGGTGGTCCCACCCCGTCTCCTCCCCGGGGCACTCACTTGCTCTTGAACTCCTCCACGTACTGCCGCATGTTCTGCAGCTCCGACTCCAGCTGCCCCCGCTGCCCCAGCAGGTTCTCCAGCCGCCTCCTCAGGTTCTGGATGTAGCTCTCAAAGATCACCGTCAGGTCCTTCCTCGGCCCCGACGGCCCCTGCTGCTGCAGCAGCTCCCACTTGGTGGACAGGACCTTGTTCTGCTGCTCCAGGAACCGCACCTGAACCCAACCACCAGGCCGTGTGAGACATTCCCGCCGGGATTATCCCGCTGCTCCGACCTCCCGGGAGCTCTGGGAGCCCGAGGGGGAGTCGTTCTCCAAACCCTCACCTACGGCTCATTCAGGCACCCAGGTTGCTCAAGCGCGTGAGAAGCGTTATTAAAATCATTACTCATTAAACAATTAAACTTTGAGTCATCCTGGACTTCTCCCTGTGGGACTCGGAGGTGTTGGCAGATGAAATTCACCCCAGTTTTCCATCGGGGTCGGGCTTTGCCATCAACTTTCCAACAGTGAAGCCAAAGAGGCTTTTCATTCCCCACCTGTCCCGAAATCCTCTCAGGAGGGGTTTTGCTACTCCCCCAGTCCCTATTTGAGGTGGGAATGAATCCCAGAGAGGTGTTTTTAATGCTCTGAAGTGCCTGGGGTCAGGCTTGGAGGAGAAAAGTCTCGCTCCAGAGCAGAGCCCAGCAGGGAGAACTCTCAGAGCAACCAATTTACGACGATGACGGAGTCAACCAGAGTCGACCCAGCTCGAGGAGCCCCCCCAGAAGGTCCTGCAGGTGTTCCCTTTCATCCTCCACCGACACAGAACCTCTTCTGTTGCTCGTTAAAACCCGGCTAATCACAACTTGCGGCTCTGGGAACTCCAACTCTTGTTGGGAAGCCAAAACAAAAGAATAAAATCCCCGCTTCCACAGCCCGGGGAAGCCACCTGAGATGCCTCCTCCGAAAGGAATAAAGGAAGGAAGGAAGAAAGGAAGGAAGGAAAGAGAAACCTGGCCTAGACCCTCACCTTGTCGATGAAGGAGGCGAACTGGTTGTTGAGGGTCTTGATCTGCTCCTTCTCCTGGGTTTTCACCTGCTGGATCTGGGGGTCGATCTCCACGTGCACGGGCCGGAGCAGGCTGGGGTCGACCTGCACCGGCTGGATCCCGCCGGGGAAGCCGGCGCCGCCGAAGCCGCCCATCCCACCGCCCATCCCACCGCCTATACCGCCACCAAAGCCCCCCATGCCTCCACCACCGCCCCCCACGCCACCGCCAAAGCCCCCCATGCCTCCGCCCAGGCCCCCCATGCCCATCCCACCGCCAAAGCCGCCCATCCGGCCCCCGTAGCCGCCCCCATAGCAGCCCCCACTGGCCACCCTCCGGCCGCCCCCCATGCTGTGCAGGCTCCTGCTGCTGAAGCCCCCGCAGTGCCCTCCTCCTCCTCCTCCTCCTCCTCCTCCTCCTCCTCCTCTCCTCCTGCTCCCCGGCACGAGGAGTAGGAGCTGTAGCTGATCCTGCTGTGGCCGCCGCCGCCCCCGAATCCTCCCCCGATGGCGGAGCAGGAGCTGAAGCCTTTCCTGCCTCCCATCCCAAAGCTCCTGCAGGCGGACTGGCGGGACATGGTCGGCTTTTTCCCGGGTGGAATTAAAATCCCAGAGGGAGTTGAAGGCAGAGAGAAGTGCTCGGAGTCTCCTCTGGCTCCAGCGGCTCCGGGAATTCCCTTTTATCCGCTCGCAGGGGTGGGCCGGGCGTGCTGGTGGAAAGCAATTTGGGGTTTTCATCAGCACCCCGGGGGGGTTGTTGACAGATTTTTTTTTTTTTTTTTGGTGAAGCTTTGCCATATTTGGGGCTGCCCAGGAACACGCCCTGCAATCGGGAGGGGAATTAAAAGCCGAGCATCCAGGCAGGTCCCTCCGTGACTCAGTGGGCTCCCCTATCTTTATGGAATCTCGGAAAGAACGCTCCGTCCCTTTTTTCCAAGCCCCTCATTGGATCCCCGGCCCTGACTCCCCAATAACTCCAGATAAAGATCTGCCCCTCCAATCAAAAAAAAAAAAAAAAATCCCAACTCATATTGAGGCTTTCACAACTCCCCCCCCAAACACGCCCTAAATCCGCTTTTTATTTGTCAAATCGCCCTTTGGCGTTTTCGGGAGACGTTTCCCAATCCAAACTCACAAGATTTGAGGAGACTCAGCAGATTTTCCCGCTGAGGGGGGGAAGGACCTCGCGGTGTCACCGTGATGGGAGTGCCTTCCACCCCCGGGATTGAGGTCCCTCCACCTCGATCTTCCCAAATCTGGGATAACCCTCTGGAGGATGCTGGAGCAGAGGGAAGAGGGTGGCTGGGATCATCCCCTGCCTCCTGATGGTCTGAGGGACACAGGGAATCATCACCAACCCCGGGAGGGACCGAGGGACGCGTCAGGAACCCACCAGTGCCGGGGACAGACGGACAGCTCGAGGTGCTGAGGGGGCTCCTGCTGCTCAGGGCGATTCCACAACCTCTCATTTACCAGGTTTTTTTTCCCCAAAAATGACACAGGAAAACCAGTTGGGAGCCAGAGGCGAAGGATGAACCTCTGGGTTCCAAATATTCGGGAAGGGAGGGGGGAAGGAGGGAGGGATGTGCTCGAGAAACGTGTTTTGGGTGGGACACCTCTGAAATAAAGAAACCTCTCTTTTTTTTAATTGAATGTAAATATTTTTAATTCATTAATTCGTTAATTCATTAATTCATTAATTCATTAATTCATTAGTTCATTAATTCATTAATTCATTCATTCATTAATTCATTAATTTAGAAAATGCTTGATGATTCTGCTGGGTGGAGTTCCCCCCCCCAAAAAAAAAAGAAAGGCAGATTCTCATCTGTGCTCATTAAAATCAAACTGAGCCCGTAAATATTACCTAAGAGGCCTCCTGAAGGTTTTAATCTGTCTGAATGCTATCAATTAAAAGCGTGATTAATTTAATTAATTCATTAAATGGGCAGTTAATTTGCTCGTTATCCTAAATAGCACCAGCGCGAGTCAGGGAGAAGGGACAGGAAAATGCACATTGGGGCCTTTCAGGGGGTTTAAAACATGAATTTGAGGCCAGTCAAAAGACCTTAAGTGGACAGGGACCTTCAGGAGGAATTTTTGGGGTCTTTTAGGGTGTAGGAGAGGGTAAAACGTCACCCTGGAGGGGGACTCAGGTGTTGGCCAGGGGTTACCCCACCCCTGAGGGACTCAAAACCATCTGGACCAGGGTTATCCCACCCTGGAGGGGCTCAAAACCACCTGGCCAGGGGTTATCCCACCCCTGAGGGACTCAAAACCACCTGACCAGGGGTTATCCCACCCCTGAGGGATTCAAAACCATCTGGACAAGGGTTATCCCACCCTGAGGGACTCAAAACCATCTGGACAAGGGTTATCCCACCCTGGAGGGGCTCAAACCCACCTGATCAGGGGTTATCCCACCCCTGAGGGACTCAAAACCACCTGGCCAGGGGTTATCCCACCCCTGAGGGACTCAAAACCACCTGGACAGGGGTTATCCCACCCCTGAGGGACTCAAAACCACCTGGACAGGGGTTATCCCACCCCTGAGGGACTAAAACCATCTGGACAAGGGTTTATCAACCCTGAGGGGCTCAAAAACCACCTGGACAAGCGTTATCACACCCTGGAGGGGCTCAAAACCACCTGGACAGGGGTTATCCCACCCTGGAGGGGCTCAAAACCACCTGACCAGGGGTTATCCCACTCTTGGGGGCTCAAGTCCTAGTTGACCAAGGGTTGTCCCACTCCTGAGGGATTCAAAGACCGCTTGGACAAGAGTCATCCCACCCTTGAGGCACTCAGGTAATGGTTGGCCAAGGCTTTTCCCGCCCTTGAGGGGCTCAAAAAATACTTGGCCAGGGACCATCCCACCACTGATGGACTCAAGAGTTGGCCAAGGGTCATCCTACTACTGGACACTCAAGGGTTGGCCAAGGGTCATCCCACCACTGGACACTTAAGGGTTGGCCAAAGTTCATCCCACCCCAATGGATTTGATGGTTGGCCAAGGGTCATCCCACCCTTGAGGGGGACTCAAGGATTGACCAAGGGTCATCCCACCCCCATGGACTTGATGGTTGGCCAAGGGTCATCCTACCCTGATGGACTCAACAGTTGGTCAAGGGTCATCCCATCCTTGAGGGGGACTCAAGGATTGACCAAGGGTCATCCCACCCCCATGGACTTGATGGTTGGCCAAGAGTCATCCTACCCTTGATGGACTCGGTGGTTGGCCAAGGGTCATCCTACTACTGGACACTCAAGGGTTGGCCAAGGGTCATCCCACCACTGGACACTCAAGGGTTGGCCAAGGGTCATCCTACACCCATGGACTCAAGTCCTGGATGACCAAGGTTTATCCCCACCCGTGAGGCCAAGGGTCATCCCACTCTGATGGACTCAACAGTTGGCCAAAGGTCATCCTACCCTGATGGACTTAAGTCCTGGTTGGCCAAGGGTCATCCCACCCTTGAGGGGGTCCCACGGTTGGCCAAAGGTCATCCCACCACTGATGGACTCCGTGGTTGACCAAGGGTCATTCCACCACTGGACACTCAAGAGTTGGCCAAGGATCATCCAACCCTGATGGACTTGATGGTTGGCCAAGAGTTATCCCACCTTGAAAGCCTCAACATCTGGCTGAGGGTTCTCCAGACGTGTGTTCCTGCCCCTGGAGAACGGGCAGCACCCCCCCAGCAAGGAGGGGACACCCTCCCTCTGGAAAGGAACCCAGAGGGTCCCACTCCTCAGTTCCCACCCCCTGAGCAGAGTTAAGCTCTCCAGATCCTCCCTTAACCCTCTTGGAGGCTCAGGATGGCTCAGCCTCCCTCCAGCCGGAGAAACCAGGACGTCCCTCCTGCCTTGGCCTCCCTCCAACTGGAGAAACCAGGACATCCCTCCTGCCTTGGCCTCCCTCCAGGCTGCCAAACGTGTGGCACGAAGCCACCAGAGTGTCCCCCGTGGTGGCTCCACGGAGAGAGAGGGGAAGGATGTGCCGAGTCAGCTGATAAATCAGCGCCCGCAGATAAGACTGGAGCCCCAGCCCGGGCGGCTCTGACGTCTCCAGACGAGATGTGCAGATTATCCCCGGGCTCAGCCTCCTCCCGGGGTGACCCTCGGCACCAAACCGAGCCCTGGGAGCTCTGGCTGGAGGGGCTGAAGGCGGGAGGATCAGGGGATGGGGGGTGGGAACTCAGCAGGGAAAATGGGGGTGGACAACGAGCCGGGCTCAGGCTCCACGTCCCGCAGAGCCAACCGAGCTCCCGCCCCGGATCTCACATGGAAAAGCTGCTGCAGCGGCTCCTCAGAGCGGCTCTGGGGCCGGGGAGAAACACGGAGTTAAAATTGGGCACCGAGGCAGGTGATTCAGCACCAGAACAGGTGATTAAGCACCAAAACAGGTGACTCTTGCCCCAAGCCAAACACCGGAGCGCTCCTGGCTCAGCACCAGCTTCTCAGAGCCTTCTCAGCGTCTTCTGTTCGGGCCAAACCCAGCCCTGTTCCCATGCCCGGGCACTCCTGGGCTTCCAAGGGAGTAGAATTCCCTCTTCCAGGTGTAAGATTCCCTCTTCCAGCTGTAGGATTCCCTCTTCCAAGAACCCTCGTAGCCGTTTCCCGTTGCCTTTCCCAGATTTCTCCCCTGGCTCTGCAGCTTCCTGACCCGCTCTGGGGACACCGGGGCGGCTCCCGGGGGGTTGTTGTGGGACTCCCGATCCGCCTCTGCCAGCGTTTTCTGCCCCTTTGATCTCTCCCCGCGGCGCAGGAGCCGCAGCACAGCTCGGATCAAACGCACCGCCACTCCCCTCCCACCTGCTCCCAATCCTGCTCCGGGAGGGAGGGAAAGAGGGAGGGAAGAGCCCACTGGGGGAGCCGCTCGGCTCTCCAGGGAGCTGACGGGGCCCGGGCTCCCTGGCGGGGTTTGGGATGAATCACCCCCCTTCCCAGCCCGCCGCGTTCCCACGGCTGGAAAATCGCGGCTCGTTTTCCCCCCCACCCCTCCCCGGGGGCGGTTCGTGGGTGACGGAGCCGGGCCGAGCGCCAGGGGACAAGGGGTTTGGTCAACACCCACGCCCCACGTCCTGCTGCCCTCCCAGCGCTGCCCACGGGACCGCCACGGCCCCCACTTCTCCTTCCTCCGGCGCAGGATCAAAGCCTCCTCCACCTGGAGCTGCTCCAAGGGGGAATGTCGGGAGTTGGGGGCTCGACTTTCCAGGGCAAGGTGTCCCCTCCCACGGCAGGGGTTTGGATTGGGGTGATCTTTAAGGTCCTTTCCAACCCCAAACCGTGCCACGATCCCATGACTCTCCCAGCTCACCCCCGGGGTGCGGGTTTGTGGCTCCGGGTGGGGGCCAAGAGGCGTCGTCCCCCCCCCTCCCCCCGAGCTTGGACACCCGCCCTGCTCCATCCCCGCACCTCTGCAGATCCCTCCAGGCCCAGGGACGACCCCTAATTTCCCACCCACCATCACCAAACCCCCCGAAGCAGCGACACAACGACCTTGTGAATGTTCTCTGCGGTTTATTGGGAACGGCAACACCCCGGGGGGAGGGCAGCGAGGCTGGGGGGTGCGGGTGGGTGGAACGGGAGGTGGGGACATCTCGTGCCCCGTCGCGGGGTGGGCTGGAGGGTTTGTTCTCCTCGCAGACAGCCCGGGGGGGTCGTGTGCGAGGCGTCCCAGGGGTCACCGGGAGCGGGACGAGCGGAGCGGCGGCCGCAGCTCCCGGCCGAGAGAAGCCCCCCGAGGTCCCACCCTGGGCCGGCCCGGCCCCCGGCCACCTCCCGAGACGCCCCCTCGCCGAGGGACGAGCCCCGCTGGCCCCACACCCTTCCCGGGGGGAGCAGCGGGATGGACCCCGCCGGGAGCGCGTCCCCGAGGGACGCGGGGCGGGAGGGGAGAGCGGGACACGCGAGTTTTATACACGAGAAATGCCCGAGGTAGCGAGGCGGCGTGGGGTGGGCGGGGGGCGCGGCGGCCCCTCGTGCCGGGCAGCTCCCCGTGCCCCGACGGCGCCGGCATCGCCCCCCACGCCCCGCGTGGCACCGCGGGCCGGGCCGAGCCGGGCGGGGAGGGCGCGGCTCGTCCCACGGAGGGGCTGCTGCGAGTGGGGAGGCTGGGGCTGCTGCCGGCGGGAGGGACGAGGAGCTGCTGGTGGTGCTGGTGGTGCTCGGTGGGGCTCAGAACCGCACCCCCGAGGACTTCACCGAGGTGGTGACGCATCTCCGCACCGAGGACGAGCCCCCGGCGGAGCCGCACATCCTCCCGCTGCCCGAGGAGAAGCCCCCGCCGTGCATCCCCCCGCCCAGCCCGCAGCTGCCGCCGGCGAAGGCGCTCCCTCCTCCGCCGCCGCACATCCCTCCTCCCATCCCTCCTCCCATCCCGCTGCCGCCGCCGAATCCTCCTCCCATGCCGCCCACTCCGAATCCTCCTCCCCGGCCGCTGCCGCCGCCGAATCCTCCTCCCATCCCGCCGACTCTGCCGCTGGTCACGGTGGTCCTGCCGACCACGGCTGCAAGAGAAGAGCAGGTTAACATTCCCTTGCCCAATCCCGGGCTCTGTCTCCCCCAAAATCCCCATCTGGAGGTATTTTTGGGGGTCCCCCCCTCTTCCCCCGAGGGGAAATACTCACAGACGTTGACGTTGGACATGCTGTCGTTGCAGAGCCTGCCGGGGGAATGGGAAGGGTTTAATTAGCCGGGAAAAGAGAGGGGGTGAAAAGCTTCCAAGTGTGGGGTTGTTGTCCTGTCACTGCCCCCCGGTTCATCCCCCTCAGCCACTTGGGAATCACTAAAGGGTTTCAGGAGGGGATTGGCAATCCCTCTTTTTGATGAGCCTCCAGGTTTGAGGTTCATTGAAAAATTGGGCACCTGACAGGAGGGGAGTGGCAGTTCCACCACCTGCAGTGACCCAGTGATGGGTCCTGACCCCTCAAAACATCCCAAATCCCCTTTACAATCAGGTTCCTCCAGGTTTTTGAGGTTCACTAAAATGGGCACCTGACAGGGAGGGGAGCAGCAGTTCCACCCCCTGTACTGACCCAGTGATGGGTCCTGACCCCTCAAAACACCCCCCCAGAGCAACCAATCCCAACATCCACCCTCTTTACCCCAAATCCTCTTTATGATGAGGCTCCTCTGGGTTTTTGAGGTTCACTAAAATTGGGCACCTGACAGGAGGGAGTGGCAGTTCCACCACCTGTACTGATCCAGTGATGGGTCCTGACCCCAAAATACCCCCCAGAACACCAACCCCAATATCCACCCCTTTTACCCCAAATCTCCTTTACAATCAGGTTCCTCCAGGTTTTTGAGGTTCATTAAAAAGTGGGCACCTGACAGGGAGGGAGTGGCAGTTCCACCACCTGTACTGGTCCAGTGATGGGTCCTGACCCCCTCAAAACAACATCCCCCAGAGCAACCAATCCCAACATCCATCCTCTTTACCCCAAATCCCCTTTACAATCAGGTTCCTCCAGGTTTTTGAGGTTCATTAAAATTGGGCACCTGACAGGGAGGGAGTGGCAGTTCCACCACCTGTACTGGTCCAGTGATGGGTCCTGACCCCTCAAAACACCCTCCCAGAGCAACCAATCCCAACATCCACATTTTTATCCCAGAGAAATGGCCTGGCCTTGCCTGGGTGTCCATCCCATCCCACCCCACCCCAGAGCTCAGCCCTCACCTGTTCTCCTCCCCCTCCAGCAGCTTCCTGTACATGGCGATCTCCACGTCCAGCGCGATCTTGACGTTGAGCAGCTCCTGGTACTCCTTCAGCAGCCGGGCCAGCTCCTCCTTGTCCTTGCTCAGGGCTGCCTCCAGCTCCTCCAGCTTTATCCTGGCATCCTTGAGGGCCATCTCGCCCCTCTCCTCGGCCTCGGCGATGGCCGATTGCAGGTGATGGTTCTGGAGGGGTGGGAAACGGGAACTGTCTCTGGTTTTGTCACTCAGGGTCAGCCCTGGGACCCTCCAGTGGGGAATTGCAGAGGGGAGAGGAGAAACAGCTACAGGAGGTGGACTCAGGGGGGTGATTGGAAGTTTCTGGCCCTTTCAGGGTGGTTCATGAGCCAACCTGCTGGCACCACGCCCTGAGACACCACAGGACCCTTCACCTGCTCCTTCAGCTTCTCAGTCCTATCCCTGAGACACCACCCAACCCCTTACCTGCTTCTCACCTTATCAGTCCTATCCCTGAGACACCACCCAACCCCTTACCTGCTCCTTCAGCTTCTCAATCCCATCCCTGGGACACCACCCAACTCCTTACCTGCTCCTTCAGCTTCTCAACATCATCCCCAAGACCCCACCCAACCCTTACCTGCTTCTTCACCTTCTCAATCCCATCCTTTGAGACATCACCCAACCCCTACCTGCTGCTTCACCTTCTCCATCTCATCCCTGAGACACCACCCAACCCTTTACCTGCTCCTTCATGTTCTTGATCTCATCCCTGGGACACCACCCGACCCTTTACCTGCTTCTCACCTTATCAATCCTATCCCTGAGACACCACCCAATCCCTTCACCTGCTCCTTCAGCTTCTCAATCCCATCCCTGAGACACCACCTGCTCCTTCATGTCCTTGATCTCATCCCTGAGACATCAACCAACCCCTACCTGCTCCTTCAGCTTCTCAACATCATCCCCAAGACCCCACCCAACCCCTTACCTGCTTCTCACCTTCTCAATCCTATCCCTGAGACACCACACGACCCTTCACCTGCTCCTTCAGCTTCTCAGTCCTATCCCTGAGACACCACCCAACCCCTTACCTGCTCCTCACCTTCTCCATCTCATCCCTAAAACCCCACCCAACCCTGTGAGGGTCTGTGGGTCCTTTACCTCCTCCTCTTCTTCTGAGTCTCATCCCTGAGACCCCACCCAACCCTGGGAGGGTCTGAGGGTCCTTTACCTGCTCCTCACCTTCCCAATCTCATCCCTGAGACATCAACCAACCCCTTACCTGCTCCTCACCTTCCCAGTCTCATCCCTGAGACATCAACCAACCAACCCTCTGAGGTGCTGAGGGGCCTTTACCTCCTCCTCTTCTTCCCAGTCTCATCCCTAAAACGTCATCCAACCTCTTACCTGCTCCTCATCTTCCCAATCTCATCCCTGAGACCCCACCCAACCCTCTGAGGTGCTGAGGGTCCTGTACCTGCTCCTCGGCTTCCCAATCTCATCCCTGAGACACCAATCAACCAACTCTGTGAAATGTTGAGGGTCCTTTATCTCCTCCTCTTCTTCTGAGTCTCATCCCCAAGACATCAAACCAACCCCTTATGTGCTCCTCACCTTCCCAATCTCATCCCTGAGACATCAACCAACCAACCCTGTGAGGTGCTGAGGGTCCTTTACCTCCTCCTCACCTTCACAATCTCATCCCTAAAACCTCATCCAACCTCTTACCTGCTCCTCATCTTCTCAGTCTCATCCTTGAGACCCCACCCAACCCTGTGAGGTGCTGAGGGTCCTGTACCTGCTCCTCACCTTCCCAATCTCATCCCTGAGACACCACCCAACCTCTTACCTGCTCCTCTCCTTCTCCATCTCATCCCTAAAACCCCACCCAACCCCGTGAGGTGCTGAGGGTCCTTTACCTGCTCTTCACCTTCCTAATCTCATCCCTGAGACCCCACCCCACCCAACCCCGTGAGGTGCTGAGGGTCCCGTACCTGCTTCTTGACGTTCTCGATCTCCACCCGCAGCCTCTGCACGTTCCTGGTGAGCTCCTGGATCTCCAGCTTGGTGTTCCTCAGGCTGTCCCCGTGGCGCCCGGCCGTGCTCTGCAGCTGCTCGTACTGGGGGGTAAAGGGGACAGGAGGGGACCCATCAGGGGGGTTTTGGCACCGGTTTTGTGGCTTGGGGGACACCACGAGGACCCAACACTGGAGGGACGCCCAGATGGGGGACAGAGGGGGTGTTGGGAGCCCAAAAATGGGGGTTGGGGCTCTGAAATTGGTCTTGATCCCACGGGGGTGGGAGGGGGATAAAAGCCTTGGACAGGTGGGTTTGGGCCCCTCGAGGGTGGGGTGAGCCCAGGCCAGGTGTTGAGTCCTTCAGGGTTGGGAGAACCCTTGGAAAATCATTCCCTGAGTCCCTCAGGGGTGGGAGAACCCTTGGAAAATCATTCCCTGAGTCTCTCAGGTTTGGGAGAACCCTTGGAAAATCATTCCCTGAGTCTCTCAGGGGTGGGAGAACCCTTGGAAAATCATTCCCTGAGTCCCTCAGGAGTGGGGTGACCCTTGGAAAATCATTCCCTGAGTCCCTCAAGGATGGGGTGACCCTGGGCCAAGGATTGAGTCCTTCAGGGTTGGGAGAACCCTTGGAAAATCATTCCCTGAGTCCCTCAGGGGTGGGAGAACCCTTGGAAAATCATCATCTGAGCCCCTCAGGGGTGGGAGAACCTTGGAAAATCATCACCTGAGTCTCTCAGGGATGGGAGAACCCTTGGAAAATCATTCCCTGAGTCCCTCAGGGGTGGGAGAACCTTGGAAAATCATTCCCTGAGTCCCTCAGGGGTGGGAGAACCTTGGAAAATCATCATCTGAGTCCTTCAGGGCTGGGATAACCCTTGGAAAACCATTACCTCAGTCCCTTAAGGGTGGGATAACCCTTGGAAAATCAACACCTGAGTCCCTCAAGGGACCCTTGGTCACCTCTTTGAGTCCATGAGGGTTGGGAGAACCCTTGGCCAACCACCAAGTCACCCTCAAGGGTGGAGAATCCTTGGCTAAGCATGGCTTGAGTCCCTCAGGGGTGGGATAATCCTTGGAAAATCATCACCTGAGTCCCTCAGGAGTAGGAGAATCCTTGGGAAAACCCTTGGAAAATCATCACCTGGGTCCCTCAGGGGTGGGAGAACCCTTGGAAAATCATCACCTGAGTCCCTCAAGGGACCCTTGGGCACCTCTTTGAGTCCATGAGGGTTGGGAGAACCCTTGGCCAACCACCAAGAATCCTTGGCTGAGCATGGCTTGAGTCCCTCAGGGGTGGGATAATCCTTGGAAAATCATCACTTGACTCCCTCAGGGGTGGGAGAACCCTTGAGAAGTCATCACCTGAGTCCCTCAGGGGTGGAATAACCCTTGGAAAATCATCATCTGAGCCCCTCAAGGATGGGATAACCCCTGGAAAATCACTACCTGAGTCCATCAGGGTTGGGATAACCCTGGGCCAACCTTGAGTCCCCCTCAAAGGTGGACAACCAGCCACACTGCCGAGCCCCCTCCTACCTCCCAAGAAGCGAAGCTGGGCTGGACTTTTCCCCCCCTTAAAGTGCCTTTTTTTTTTTTTGGGGGGGTCATTTTTCCCCCAGAACCCCTTCAGGGGGATGACTCAGATCCCTCAAGAGAAACCCCAACCCCCCCGTTGGGGACACACCCTTTGCCCCACGAGCATCCCCGTTAGGGCCGCCCGGTCGTAAATTAGGGCTAGTTGGTGGTAAATTATTCCCAATTAGCCACCCCAGGAGGTGGGGGGACGGCCTGAGGTGGTGCCAAACCCACCTGGCTCTGGTACCAGGCCTCGGCCTCGGCCCGGCTGCTCTGGGCGATCTGCTCGTACTGGCGCCGGACCTCCTCGATGATGCTGTCCAGGTCCAGGTGCCGGTTGTTGTCCATGGACACCACCACGGACAGGTCCCTGCTGATGCTCTGCATCTGGGACAGCTCCTGTGGGGACAGCCCGGGCAGGGGGGAGAGGCACAGCTTGAAAAAAATCCCACCTGGGATTTTGGGGTGGATCTCCAGCCCCCCGGATCCACCTCGGCCACCCTGGTGTGGCCCCCAGCCCGACTCGGAGCTCGCACCTCCTCGTAGATGGCCCTCAGGAAGTTGATCTCGTCGGTCAGAGCTCCCACCTTGGCCTCCAGCTCCACCTTGGTCATGTAGGCAGAGTCCACATCCTGGAGGGATGGGTAAAAATTAAAAAAAAAACAAAAAACCCAGTGGTGTTTTCCCCTCGGGATTTCCCCTCGGGAATCCTTCGGGATTGTGCTGTTAATCCCAAAGGGGTGGGGGTCGTGGGTGATTCTGCAGCTCGTGTTTATGTAAATGTGTGGAGCTGAAAATAAACAGCATTATCTGCAACTCTGTAAATAGAGAGGTGATTTGGTGTGGGTAATGCTGTTGTAATTGTGTGGGTTTTTGTTGTATAATAATACAATGATGCATAATATATGTTATATATGTTATAATATATAATATGTTGTATAATAATACAATGATGCATAATATATGTTATATATGTTATAATATATAATATGTTGTATAATAATACAATACATAATATATGTTATATATGTTATAATATATAATATGTTGTATAATAATACAACAATACAGAATATATGTTATATATGGTTATAATATATAATATGTTGTATAATAATACAACAATACATAATATATGTTATATATGTTATAATATATAATTTGTTGTATAATAATACAACAATACAGATGTTATATATATTATAATATATAATATGGTGTATAATAATACAATAAGATGTTATATATGGTATAATATATAATTTGTTGTA